GATGGATGGATGGATGGATGGATGGATGGATGGATGGATGGATGGATGGATGGATGGATGGATGGATGGATGATGGAAGGAAGACTTGTGGAACCAAACCAAAGGATGGATGTTTATCCATAATGCACAGCAGCACCAGCTGTAAGGTATAGTGGTGGAGGAAGGATGGGTTGGTTTGTAAGCCCAGGTTTGTGGATGCCTGTGTAGACCAAAAGGTTTCAGAGCCAAAGTTTGGGTCAGAACCAAACTTTAGACCTGAAAACATGAAGCTATTTTCGTTGTCATAGGAGTCCTGCATGACACTCGTGACTGTAGCCGAGCCTTCAGCGCTCAGCGTTTTGTACTATCTAGAGATGATTTTCAGAAATGTATTGATTAATCTGATCTTTAGCTGCAGTTCAGATATGAAGTGAAGTTTTAAAGATAAAATGTTTGTTGATGCTGCTACTTTGATCATTTAATGTTTCAATGTGTTTCATATACTGTATCCACCAGAGGAGCTCTCAGGTCTCGGCTGCTGGTTTTTATGAGTCAGAAGATAAAACGTCTTGAATCAGATCTGAGTCCATCTGTCTGACAGCTGAAGTTTGGACCAAACTGGGTCCAACAGAACCACAATCCCAAACACAGCAGCTGATCTACAACGGAACAGGTCAAAAAGTGAAGAAGAGTCCTGAACCTGAACTTGACTGAAACCTTGTAGTGGGATGGAGGATCAGAAGCGTGCACAGACATTTTCGGGGGCAGGTGCTCAAATTTAAAAAGAGGGCACCTTGTCCGGTGCCACGAATCAGCAGCTGTCCTAAAAATGTGACATTACAGACACATCTTGTWCATTGTGCATATTTATCTATTTTAAACCTGATTTTTTTTCCCGTCTGATGTTTAATATTCATCAACACTCTACATGTTGGTTTCTGTAACAAACTGGCAACAACAGAACAAAAACTAGCAATGACAATTTTTGTAGTGTTTATAAAATAACTATAATCAAGTTTATTTTCACTAAATTACTAATGGATTTTTTTGTTCTGTGGAGGATTTTCATTCAGTCTCTCCATCATAGAGCTGTTTCCATGATCTGAATTCTAACAGTTCAGCTTCATCTGTGTCTGACGGAGGAAAACATAGAGCTGCTTCTCTGCTGTAGCTAAAACACCAACAATATGAAATGTGTTTATTTGGGTGAAACAGCTTGGTGACAAAGGTCAGTGCAATAAATTACAACATCTAAACTAATCAGACTCTAAATTACTGTCAAAATGTGACACTCTAACACAGGGGGGTCGAATTCACAAGGGGGTGAAAGTTACACACTTAGTCCAGACCAAGAACCAATTTCTGTTAATATTTATTGAAACAAAAGCAAATTATTCTTATGATACTAATTTTATTTTCCATATTATGGTTTATGTTCCATTTAGAACACACAAAACCTGAGAAAGAAGAGATTAAATTTAAAAAGAACTCGTTAGCATTCATTATTCAATGTTTGACTTTAAAATGAAAAGAAAATACAGAAAAATACAACTAAAGCTAATTGTCTTTCCACACTAAAATCAAAGAATACTGAAAATTTCAAACTTAATTTTCTTAATATTTGCCTCATTAGTCTTTACAGACAACAGGAAGTGAAGTTTGACTCCAGCATCTGAGGTTTAGGGGGTAAAAAGTGTGACCAGATCCTGTGGGCCATCACATTGTGTCATTTTAATGTAACACGGGGGAAAGAACCCGGATTGTGACTGAGGACGTGGC